CCTAAATGTGCCTGAAAATTTGACCTCAATTTGATGACACAGGTTAGATTATCATTCAACCTATATTCAACCTGGTCAAATTTAGGCTGAATTATCCTATTTTAACTAGTGTTACCTTTGGTTAATCTCGATTAACAACTAGAAGTTTGGCAGCTTATGATAGGTTTGATTTTAATGAACTTTACCATTTTATGCAAAATTTTCATCAAAATATTAATAACACGATTACTGGTAATGAAGAATTTCTGGGAGAGATGCTTACTCCAAGAAATCGAGTATCATTATCAAATGCCATATATAAACTATTGGTAAATATTATAATAATACATATGATTGGAATTTTATATCAATTGCTGATTTAACTTTGAGTAATTTATCGTCAGGAGATTCCAATCAATCAATCATTGTATTGCCAATCGTAACCCAGTTTGGTTGTATTCAGATTGCTACCAAAATTTTTGGATCAAAAAGTGCATCCTGATATCAAAGAAGTTCATATATTCTGGCCAAATTTATATAGGACGATGAGTCTATAGTAGAGGTAGGCTCCGAATCTGGTCAATCCGGTCATCCTAGGATCAATCCGTCTAATAGGCGGATTCGGATTGATCAGATGAATCCGTCAAATAGACCGGATGGATGACCGGATATCCGATCAATCCTATACGGGATCGACAAAAAAATTTCCTTTTTAGGAAATTTTATGTTACACGACCGGAAACTAAATTTAGAAAAACTGGTTTTTGTGGAATGGGTATCGCCATAAATGGAAATGATCGACATACCCGTGAGTCACGTGACAACAATTAAATACCTAATCATAAATTCCGGCTGAAATTAAATGATCGGCGATAAATTTCCTTTTTAGGATTTTTGTGAAACCAAAAATTTCATTTTTGCTGGGAAACAAAATTGCCTTTTTTGGATTTGCGTAACGTTACTCATACCCTAAAAAGGATAATTCTATGCCGATTACTTAATTCCGGCCGGAATTATAATCAACCCGGTCAATCCGCGGATAATCCGATGATCCGATTTTTTTAATCCGGATTAATCCGTCACGTGATCATCCGGATGACGGATTGACCAGATTCATCCGGAGCGCACCTCTAGTCTATAGACATTTACCCTAGTCATGTTCAGTATTATTTTGAGCATACGGTTTAGCTGCCAATCGCATCAGCTTGCTTTTGTCAACTGGTATTTATGGGTACCAAATGAGAAAACAAGGTTTCATTGCAAAATCAGCAATTAGAATGATAAAAGTTGCAATATTGAATTGTGAATATATGATTTTTACGAATTATCTAGAGATGCCATCATGCTAATTTATAACATATACAGTCGATTCTTACCTAGCAAATTTACAGTTAGTACACGAAATCTAACTACTTATATGTAAGAATGGGTCCGCAAATGATTTTCAAATTCTGCAATATTGTGGATTTTGGAGTTGAATTGCGGTTAGTAGCCTGCAATTCTGCAATTTTAATTGCTGCCCATAACTGTCAGCTTCGTACATTTATAAAAATGCCAGAACTATGGGTTCTAGCATTTTCTTTTAATTTTTTTTACATAAAAATGCTGGAACTATGGATCTGGTATTTTCTTTTAATTTTTTTTTACATAAAAATGCCATTACTATATATAATTCTGGCGTTTTCTTTTGATTTTTTACATAAAAATGCCAAAACTATGAGTTCTGGCATTTTCTTTTGATTTTTTTTATATAAAAATGCCAGAACTATGATTCTGGCGTTTTCTTTTGATTTTTTTACATAAAAATGCTGGAACTATAGGTTCCAGCATTTTCTTTTGATTTTTTTTACATAAAAATACCAAAACTATGGTACCAGCATTTTTTTTGATTTTTTTTACATAAAAACGCCAGAACTATGATTCCAGCATTTTCTTTTGATTTTTTTTACATAAAAATGCCAGAACTATGATTCTGACATTTTCTTTTGATTTTTTTATATAAAAATGCCAGAACTATAATTTTGACGTTTTCTTTTAATTTTTTTTACATGAAAATGCCAGAACTATGGTTTTAGCATTTTCTTTTAATTTTTTTTACATGAAAATGCTAGAACTATAGTTCTGGCATTTTCTTTTAATTTTTTTTTATATGAAAATGCCAGAACTATGATTCTGGCATTTTCTTTTAATTTTTTTTACATAAAAATGTCAGAACTATGGTTCTGGCATTTTTTTTAATTTTTTTTATGTAAAAATGCTAGAACTATGGGTTCCAGCATTTTTTTTAATTATTTTTTATATAAAAACGCCAGAACAATTAGGGTTGGTAAAGTTCTTATTTCGGACCTAAAGACTCAGTCTTAAGACTGAGTCTGCAGATCTTTAAGTCCAATTTTTTGGACTAATAAGGAGTTAGTCTTAAATGAGTTCTAACCAATAAAAAGGGTTCTTACATTTGGTATATATATTACACGGTATTTTTAATTTTTGTTGTACAAACTTACACAATGAGTTTAGATGATGCGTTCGATTTTGTTGACTTGGAGAGTAATGACATTTTGGATAACATATTACGTACTGAAGGAAGTTCTCGAAAAACTTCACCTCTATGGAATTATGTAGATTGCAAAAGCCTAGCTCACCCGGAAGTACTTGTATGCAAAAGGTGCAATTATGTATTTTCTATTAAGTCAAGTAATACTACTATTGAACAGCATCTTTTAAATAAGCACAACATAATAATTCCAAAGGTTAGAAAGCAAACAACATTAAATTTCAAATGTACAGACCCTTGGCCTGCAAAAGAAAAATTGGAGCGAGATAAAGCAGTTGTTATTTGGATTATTGATAACCAACAACCTTTTAGTGTTGTGGAAAATGAAAAATTTATTGAAATGATGCATATTTTCGATCCTCGTTACAAAATTCCTGATCGACATCAAATAAAAGAAATGATTATTGATGAATTTAATGAACGTCATTCTAATATTGGCTATGATTTACAAAAAATATCTAGTAAAGTTTCCTTCACTGCCGATATGTGGACATCAACTATAAGTAGCGAAGCATACCTTGGCCTAACAATTCACTATATTGACCAAAATTGGGTTTTTCGGCATTTTTTACTTGATATTATTCCCTTTAAAGTTCGTCATACAGGAATCAATATGGCAGCAGCAATCACTAATGTTCTTAATGAATTCAACTTAGCAGGTAAAGCGTTAGCACTTACTACAGATAATGAATCTGCGATCACTAGTCAGAATAGTCCATTTCGTCCAAATTTCAAATTGACGAATGTTGGACGAAAGTTGATCTAACTTTGGCCGATCGTTGCCAAAAAAATCGTCAAAATTATTATGGACGATTTGCACAGTTCGCCTGCCACTTGGCAATCACAAATCGGTAAAAATTCGTTATTATCAGCAAAATTCGGAAACAAAACTATTTGTCAAACTTTTAGTTATAAAATATACACAAATCGATCTCAAAACACATTTACGAAAGATTACCAATTTATTTCTTTTGAAATGCCGGATTTAGTTTATTCATAATAATAATAACCGATTTTATTCAATAATAAATCAAAACTAAGGTTGCTTGCCGAAACCTAGGGG